CCACTCCAATTTCCGGAAAATTATATTAGGAGTCAAAATAGGTTGAAAATCACTTCGAATTCGGAATCAGGACGTTCAATTCACTAACTATTCATAGTTTTCCTTGAAAATTTCCAGTTCAGAAAAATTAAATTTTGTCTCACTTCTCATGGAAGCACCCCCGTATCTCACGTAACTATTGGGATAGGGTACTGAAATTTGCAGGAGGAAGTCCAAAGATAAAGTCAATTACGTAAGATACGGGGGTGCTTCCGTGAAAAGTGCGACAAAATTTAATTCGTCAGAACTGAAAATTTCCTAGGAAAAATATGGATAGTTAGTGAATTGGGCGTTCTGAAGTGATTTTTTGACCTATTTTGACTCCTAATATCATTTTCCGGAAATTGGGGTGATTCCATGGCTGTTGGCGAGCAGTGTATATCACTGAAGATGACCCCACTTGGTTATAGAGTGCATTTTTGGTATATCTCTCGCTCTAACAAATTTTGAGGATCCTTATCCAGCGATTGCGTGAGATACACGGATGTTTCCATTAGAAGTGGGTCACACTGTACATATTACACTGATATATTAATTCATGCACGACCGGGCGTAAAGTGTCACTTTATCGGATTCGCTGGCGTGAAGTAGTACTTAATGATTATCTTTGTAAATTAAACGAGAAATCAACTCTTGTAACTCTTCAATCAGCTGCTTTGTCATGGATATAAACAAATGGACTATTCAATCGTGGCAAATGTTTCATATAATGAGGACTAACATTTTTTATTATCCACCAGATCGCGCTACTGAGACGTGAGGTTAGTGTTGGTAAAACTGATATAGGTAGGTATAATTTTCGTTTTTTGTATCATTTGTTATTCAACTCTGGGATTTGATTTTCAGTTGTTGTTAAGTAATTTACGAAACCGCGAAGAAGTATAGAAGATAAAAACGACTTGCAGTTCTACCTCGGAGACAGTGTTATTGGCTTATTTTTCGGAACTGGCACAGCAAAAGTCATCAACAGTGCACCTATATATATTCGGGAAAAAAGAACCCACTCTTCTCCCGTGGGAAAGAAGTAATTTCATGAAGAGTAACATTCTGTAACGTCAACAAAGATGAAATGTTGAACTATTTTTCCATCACAGAAAAAACAAACAGTATTCAATTAAGAGTTGAGCAATTCTGTGATAGATGGAACCACGTTCGGAATTAATATACACAAGATTAATATACACAAAAAGTAAGAAAAAAGAGAATTTTTATTTTCATATTTATTTTTTTCTTACCTACCTAGGAAACATAGTAATGTGTTGTTAGTTAATGTAGGGTTAATCTATTCGTTCATTTCATTAACAACAAAATCTCGCTCTATGAGTCGATATCTCGCTCATTTTTGACAGCAGAGCTCGCTGAAAAAAAATATGCCTGTGGCAACACTGAACAGCATACTTGCCTATTTGAATTTGACAAGACGATATATAGGATGTCACAATATTACTCAATCGTCATTGTCATTATAACTGAATTCACAACTGGAACAATGGGCGTGAACTGTTGAAAATATAGTGAGCCAAGGATAATAAACTTGATGGTTGTAGATACAATTTTTCACTCCACTTTCTGGTATTTGTATTGAGCTTTCGGGCTTGTGTACGAACAATTTCGCTTGTCGGTTATCTGATCGTTCTCTTCTGATGGAGACTAGCAGTTGCTCTTGAGTAGTTATAGTAGTGTTTTTTTTTCAATTTCAGTAGCTATTGACTATTTTCAACGTACTTCTATGAACATTGTAACTTTCTATGTTCAATGACTATTAATTCCATTTTCGTATTTTGTCACTCACTCTCGTCTCTCACATCAATGAGTGATGAGATACGATTGAAAACTCATTCAACAAGATTTGTCTCAGATCTAAGGAACGTCCATTTTTTGTGGAATTGTGTATATCGCAACTTCGAAGTTGAGATAACCAACTCCTCAGAAGTCGAAATTTGTGAGGATTAGGAAGAGCAAGTCCTACAGCTTATGATGGCTCTCGAACCTCACTTCTAGGGCAGCGAGGTGCTGCCAGAATTACGACCATGAATCATTTATTTTTTCGAAAAATGCTCAGCCAAGCCGTATCGTGAAAGGGTATCTAGCAAATATGAGCTCATAGACAAACTCGGACACCTCGTCCCAGCTACTATCAAATTTTATATGCAATCTCACAATTTTTATGAACTGTGGCAATGTCGCTTCGTTCCCCGCAATTCTTCACGTTTTGTATGCCTTTCCTGCGCGACTAGCTCTTGATGAGTAGAATTTTAGGTGGAAAGAAGGGTCTCGCCCCCCCCCTCTCCCCATCTTATTCTAATCGCTGTACCTTTTTCAAGGACAGTACCCCTTGAGCCTTCTTATAGGGTTCAAAGGACCCCGCACAAATCAAATGCAATTTTGATTTCTGTCAATTTACCTGAAATTTTGGGGGAATGTAGTTCAAAGTGTGCTGAACAAAAGTCTCCATAGGGTGAACGCTCTCGTGAATCCTCTGATGCTACGTATAAAAAAAACTTGACTCAAGGATCTACAAAGGAGGTACACACGCATCTATCAACTGTCATATCATTAATCATATCACCTGTTCTTTGCGCTACTCAAGGCCAACGACCGTGATGCTACGTACAGAAAAAAATTCACTAAAGGATCTACAAAGGAGGTACACACGCACTTGTGAGAAATCGAATCCAGGAATTCAGGAAGTTTGCTGATTAGTTAAGCTATATTTCATTACTATATTTTACATACATTACCATCTATCAACTGTCATATCATTAATCATATCACCTGTTCTTTGCGCTACTCAAGGCCAACGAACGTGGACGTGACAGGTACTTTGGCCTCTTTGTATGACCCTGTATACACACACCCACAAGGCACCCACACAACCACCCACACACACCCACACCCAACTAACCTAACCTAACCTGTATTCGATTTCGAAATCTCACAAGTATGCGTGTGTACCTCCTTTGTAGATCATTTAGTCGAGTTTTTTCTATACGAAGCATCAGATGATTCACGAGAGCGTAGCACAAAAAATACCTACTCATAGAAATCATTTGACCCCATGGAGACCTTTGTTCAGCACACTTTGAACTACTTTCTCCCAAAATTTCAGGTAAATTGACAGAAATCAAAATTGCATTCGATTTGTGCGGGGTCTTTTGATATATTCTTTCTGATGACATCCTGTTTAATCCACTACACTGTTTAGAACTTACCAAACCGTTGTTAGGAAAGTAGATGCATATGGAAGCCTAGAGATATTTAAGAATATCAATAGAGCAATGAATGAGGATAATAGACCTACCCTACTAACACACTTATGTCCAATGGATATCCTTAGGACGTCCTGTCGGGACATTCAGGACGTCCATAGGACGTTCGAATTTGGTACCGTGGACGTCCATTGGAAGTCTGTGGGACGCACTAATGTCCCACTTGAGGACCAACTAGGGACGTCCTTGAGGGATGTTCCTGGGACAACTATCGAATACCCAAATCCTACAGTATTTCTCATCAAGCACTACAGAGGACATCCTTAAGACATCCATAGGACAACCTATCAGCAATGCTGAGAGATATCAATTCGATGTCCATGGGATGTCCCAGGGACGTACGAATTATTTTTGGATTTGAATTTTTCTGGGTCCGTCTAGGACCAGATCTTGCATGACTGATTAGGACATCCAGTTGAGTTGATGGTCCGTAGAAGGTCCCCAAAAAGTTTCCCACGGATGTCCAATGGACTTACGTGAAGGACATTGACGAGGAGTACTTATAGCCTACGAGCAATCATTCGTCGGCGAGGTGTAAGTAAATGTCCTCGCAGGGACGACATATTGAAAGTACCAACTGGGACGTCCATAGGACGTTATTTCTAGGACATTGGAAGAGTACCTACAGTTCATGTACCAATTGGGACCTCCTTCGAATGTCCCTTAGGAACATTTCGATTGTAATACGATCCTGGAAATATTAAGGGCGTCTGTGCAGAGATATTTGAAGGAATGTACTATCAGGAATATTTCATGGATGTCTAGAAGGGACATTATATAAGATCTGAAATCATGCCAGAATATGTACTACTCGGGACGTCCGATGGATGTCCCTAAAGGAACGTTCAAAATCATATCCCATCAGGGTCATGCCAAGGACGTCCTTGCATGGACATTCTACAATATGTACCACGTGGGACGTCTGAGGGATGCTATTTCTAGGACATTTGAAATGATGTAACAGCTGGGACATTCCGTGGACGTCCTTGCTCGGACATTGCATGAGATGTACGGGATGGGACGTCCCAAGGACACTTATTTTTGGTTCAGGACATTCGGACGTGAATTATACCAAATGAGGACGTCCCTAGGACGTTGTGCGCTATTAGGGATATTCCATATAGCCCTCTGTATGGTTTAGTGATATGACCATGTGTCCAAAAATGCTTCGTTTCCGAGATATAGGGTGTCCAAGTTTGAAAAAGTGAGTTTTTCATGTCTTGATCATAGGATCTGATGAGTAATTTCTTTCGCGTTTTTGTTTTATAAAATCGTATAGTCGATTGCGACGCTATGACTTTGGGCGGTTTTTGTCAGTTAGCTCGTATATTTATGAAATATATCGAATATTGCGAACTTGTTCTTTTTTTTAAACAGGAATTGTGATACTTGAAAGACAACTGAATAATAGATACTATTTCATGTTTACAAGGAGCAATCTTTCTAAAAGAAAATAAATCATTTCAGAAGGCGCCAATTAATTTTCCTTTCTTTCTTGCTATTTTCATTGAGCCGTGAATTCGTCAAACATCGCCTGGATTCGCCCCTGGGAATACGCGTTTATCATCAACATCATCAAAATTTTTCACTTGAAGTCCATATTCCTGAAGAAGAATTTGGCCCATAGTGGCGATATTCTGGGTGCCGTTTGAGACTATATCATCGGTAGGTCATCGACTCAATAACAAGCTTTTAGAAAAAAATATATTTGTAATATAAATAATAACAAAGTAATCAAGATGATATATTGATTCTTGATTTTCTCACTAAAAAAGTTTGAAAATCAATGAATTTTTTCGAATTTCAAATATACACGTTGTATCGTTCTGATAACAAAGGTATCCGGATCGATCTCTAGTGGTTGTTCAGTGAGTGGACTTGGTAAAACTCTGTAGTTCCTCAAGATGTTTGCCAAAGCTATCTTTATCTGCATGATAGCATAACGTGAACCTACAAAAAAAATACAAGTGTTATCAGTGTCCAAGGAAAACTCGTCATCTTAGAAAATGAACCTCTCTGAATTGATTGAATAGCAATAACTGTTTCTTCAATATATCGAATGCAGATGTTGAAACCATTCTGAAAATGAGATGAAGAAAGCAAATATTTGTAAGCTAATACGATTTGAGGTCAAGCATTGGTCGTAATTTTTCTACGAGCGTGCGCGAAGTACTACTTATCTGCACACATTTGCATGTGCAAAGTCACACTTTCCTCCACGCCGTAGGGATAAGTTTTTTATCCGCACTGAGTGAGGAGGAGTTAAACTACTCAAAAATCTCACTAGTACGGAAGATTTGAATTCAATTTAGTTGCTGTAAATTATTTCATGCAATATGAAAAGCCGTTGTAAGTTCATTCCTCTTCACCTCCCAACTGTATTTCTCGATATTTGTATATTTTTCAGCGTAAACAGGCAGAAAAAGTAAGTTCTTTGTGTAAAGATGTGCACTGGTCAACTTTGGAATGATGTCAGATTTTTCCTCGGTTTCTGTCAGCAAAAATTCATAAACACCAAAACTTTCTCATTAATCATATCAGAAAAGGTTCGAAAGCTATTAAAATGAGCACTTCTGACGACGAGCCATCAGATTCCATCCTATTAGAGGCAGCAAACTCTGCAAGTTCGAAATAACTGCCCACTGAATATCAACAAGAATATGAGAAACAATATATATTTTGAATATGGTGCCACAACAAACCGACAAAAAGTATCAAGGAGGAGGTGTTCCTAGTCTATTTTTCAGATTCACAAAAAATATATCAGTCGAATATTTAATGGATTAAGTACTTTAATTCCTACTCTATGTTATGAAGTGTTCTTAAAGTTGAAATAAACTTGAATTTGAGTCAATATTTCAAGCCAAAATGGTTTTCGAAAAAGCAAAATGTGGGATACCGACCGAAAGAGGTCAAACTCTTCGTGAAAGTGGAGTTTCCAGATTTATGATAGACGCACTTGATCAAAATCTTCTAACCATTCTTGGGATGGCCAGAGCTCTTTTCACTTTCGTTTTCATATGATATGAAGCTCGCGGGAAAGATATTCTTCCTAACATGTGCGCAAAGTGCCTTTGCCACCCAAAAAATTATTTTTGACATGCGGAAAAGTACCACTTTGCACACTTGTTACGGAAACAACTATTTCGAGATGATATGGGCTTTGAAATCCAAGGTATAAACTATTTTATAATATCCTGTATGTTTCATTATTCTACATTTCTACATATTCTGGTTAAGGAGAATGCAATGGTCACAATAATTTAAATCGATCTCTATATGGTCAATCGTTTTCGAAATTTTAGTTGAATTTGGTTTTTTAGTTTTCACTCGAAAACGGTGCATCTTATCGAGTTTTAATAGGGGGCAATCTTCCTATGAAACTGAACAACCTTTCATATTCCTTCTCCTATCCTTGTTCTTCGAACATAATAGGAATTTCCATTCGTGCGCTCCAAGAAATGAGAAATTCTTAGAGGCTCAAAACGATCAATACTGAATGAAGTTCCCAAGATGCAACTCTGTCAAAATCAGTTTGAACGATAAAGATTTCATTCAAATTATGTTCACTCACCAATACAGTTTCTAGGTCCATCTCCGAACGGGAAATACGGTAATTTTGGATTTCTATCGCCGAACCGGTCTGGATTCCATTTCTCCGGATCTGGATAATAGTCTGGATCTCGATGCAGTCCCAGCACTGGGATCAGCACTTTTGTTCCTTTTTCAACAATCAAGTCACTACCTGGAAACTTGTAATCCTGCACGCATACCCTTGGGAAGGTTGTTACTGGAGGCCATTTCCGTAGAGTTTCTGAAAATATCATTTTATATAGATAACCTATGGATGTACAATGAGAATGTACGGTATGGACATTCATAAGATGTCCGTTTGGGACTGTTATTGATGTCCGAAACGATGGAAAATGAATGTCCCATGGATGTCGATTTGCAGTCCAGTGTTCGCATTCTAGTTGTCCATTGGATATCCAGATTGTCCAAACGAGTCTGTCCAATGGATGTCCATTGGACTAACTTATGTTATTAGGGCGGATATTGGTAGTCGAGAATAATCAATAATTTATTCACTATTTAGTGAGATAAAATAAATAGCGTTGACGTCTCAAATGATTCTTCAGCTTATTAGGATATGTCAACAATCATTGCTCTCAAGATATAATTGATTTCAACAATGTCATGGATGAGCTGAGCAAGACAATTTGAAATGCACTTACTTGTCCTTGAGTTTTTATAAACCGGATTGTGACATAACACAGAATTTGAGGATCATTGGAACGTCAAGTATATATAAACCAAAATCGTTCAGTCAGATTGTATAAACCTCGGTAAAACATATAATAATTCAGGATTAAACAGATGACGTCAATTATTCTGGTCGTTCGAAGAATACACTCTGACATTTTTTCATTGACCACTAGTGTTCAAAAGGAGTTATTTAGAGACACTAGTGGAAAAACACTAAACAAAATTTCAACATTTCGTTGTCAAAACAAAAACATTTTCGAATTGGGAAGGACATTGAATGTTCTCCCACTTTAGATAAATAGAATTGATGACTTGAACATGTTCAGTTATAAGAAAAAAGAACAAGACGAAACATTTCAGGTTTCATACGTTTTATAAGATCACACTATATATAGGTACTGTTCTACCCTCGGTTCCACCACTAAACTTAACTAACCGATTTTTCAACGCCTTGACACGTATTTGTTTCTCTAACTATGTGAACATCTTCAGGAGGAGATTAATACTAAATATCTTGTTCTAGAATACTTTTCATACAGAGAAGTGCATAAAAAACTGCTAGTACTGTAACTTCTGAATCATTCGAGATCGAATTTTGATTTTGGTGGGCAGCAAGTATTCCAAATCGCTCATTTATAGACAAAATAATTTTTGTTCTATCACTTTCGGGTTCACCGGATACGATCCTTACTTTCGATTTTTAAATGGGACACCTTGTGATTATCATAACGAATTTATAACGATACCGAGTGTGATAGGGTAATTTCAAAGTTTCCATATGCTCAATGAGTGTAATAGATATTCCCTAACCGATTATGGAATAAAATACAAGGTGTCCCATTTGAGAATCGAAAACTGTGGTCGTTTCCAGTGAATGAGGATGTGATAGAACAAAAATTATTGAGTCAATAAATGACCAATTCATTAATGAAAATCTTATTTTTTCTCACGTTCTTATGAACCCTTTCCCATATTTTGTTGAGAGGAATCTCCCCAAGGTTTTAGTCAAAAAAACTCTGAAACATCCTGTATACGCAGGATTCTTGATTAGGATATTCAGTTTCAAACTTCTCCTGGAGATACTTAAATAGCAGAACACGTAGGTTCAACCTTCTCCCGAAGACGAAGACGCTAACACGTATCGAGACGTCAAAAAATCGGTTTGGTAAGTGGTAAAATTGTAGTGCTGGAGATTCCAGTCTTCAATCATATGGGATGATTCAAAACTCGATGTAAATATTTTGAGGACGTATTATTGGGATCAAAATAAGACGTCTTCCTTTTTCCTTCCTATAAACACATATGTCCTAAAATGCACCCCATTCCGGCCAATAAAAATGAGGACCCCTTCCAGCCCCCTCTCCTGAAATTGGGTGTACATAATTTTTGAAGAAGGAATAAAATAAAGTGTCTAGAAAGACAGAGGCCTGCCAATTTTCAGAAGATTTGATCTGTTATTTTAGTCACAATTTCAGAATATCTTTCTATTTTACCTAACTCACAGTGGCTCTAGCTTGATGGAGAGGGTGATTAGGACACATGTTCTTATGAGAAAAAAGTTTTATTTTGATCACAACAATATGTCCTTGAGATATTCACATCGAATTTTGAATCACTTTGTACATTATAATGAGATATCATTGACCTCGGACCTTCGTCCAAGTGCAATATACCAGATGACTGAACTAAATCTGATCTCGATGAAACTGTGCGTCTTTCAATCTTGCTAAAAACCAATGAAAATGATCTCGAGTTAATTGATATGATATGGTCCTATTAATTGAATAAGTGTATGATCTTACCATCGACGGCTTGACCAAGGTATTTCATTCCCATGAGCGATTCATATGTCAGATCATTGTTATTTTCCTCGAAGGTGCGTATCACTTCTTCTCTCAGTCTGTCCTGAGCCTCTTGATTCTCAGCCAGTTCAAACAACGTCATCGTTGAGGTGGTAGCAGAGGTTTCGAATCCAGCAGTGAAAAATACGAATGTCTGAAAATGGAAAGGTGGTATAGGTACTATACAGAATAAAGTATCATAAATTCTACAGAAAATGCAGCGTTGAGCCGTGAGAGGGCGATGAAGAACCTTTTTTTTTTCAGATTTTCTTTAATATTTCGGAATCCTTGGAAGGAACTGCTCTGAAATTTGTAGAGCAAATAACTATAGTGAATGTGCATGGGAAACATGTCGTATCCATTCAATCAATATACATAGAGGTAGGTATTTTGCATTCTCTTCGATGAAAATTAATGTAACTTTTTTTAAATAATTTTCCTTGGTTTTTGGGATATCCATCAAAATTCATTTTGGTGCTCCTCCATACTTGTTTATGATCATGGTGCCTATCATGTTTTGCAAGTTTTTGGTTCATTTGTGTTGAGTAATTGACCACAGTAATCATGTTCATAAACTACCTCAGCATATCATAATGTTAATGGTCATCTTTTTTTTATATCGCTTGGAGCGCACGAAAGGGAATCCCTATAATGTTCAAAGAACATCGTGCGAACCTAGGGAGGATAGGGATAGGAGGTAGATATTGGATTTTTTTTGAACTTCTAGAGATTATATGTTGTTGGGAATACTTCCTCAGGCAATGAATTCCAGAGCCTAGCCGTTCTATGGATGAAGGAGTTCTGATAAAGTGCTGCTCGACATTTTTCGAGGTTGACAACGAAAGGATGTGCTGACTGGGCTTGTCTAGTTCGTCTGACTGGTATTGCTAGTGATGGGATGATAACAGAGAACATTTCCTGTGGAAGTATCGATAGAAAAGTGAAAGGTCGCCGACCTTTCTACGGTGTTCCAATGATGTCAAAGAGTGAGTGAGTGTGGCGTCACTCACCAGGCGGATGGCTCTTCTCTGGATGGAATCTAAGAGCATCAGCGTATGTTTTGGTGCTAAACCCCATATGTGGAAACAGTATTCTAGAACAGGCCGTATATGCGCTTTGTAGATCATGAGGAGCTGTTGAGGTGTAAAGAAGCTTTTCGCACGGAACAAGAATCCGAGTTTTTGTGAAATCTAGAACTGAAATTTGGAATTTACTAGCTCTCAAAGCATATGATGAATAGCTTGCAAATTGGTGAACGCATGATTATCACGAGCAAATCATGATAATTTCAACATCATAAACGAGTCGTATGGAGAAGTACCGAAATGAGTCATTAGTCTATGTCATTGATTGTCTTTCATTAAATTTTATGTTCTTGTGTTTCTTAATTCATATCAAACCTGTCACTGTCACTGTCCTGATGGTCTGTCAATTTAGATCATTATTTTTCGAGATGTCATATGCATATTTCAACTTTAACCTCATTCACTCAGTCGTCCCGCCGAAAATGTTACAGCACATGTACAATCGATTTTCCTTATTTTATTTTATTTAATTTTAAACAATGCACTTAGTTTTCTCGGAAAACTCGAGTTTTTCAGTGTTGACAAACTTAGATAATAGTAATATTTTTGTACTCTCTGAGTGAGAATACTCAGAACAGATCAATGAATCTACTGTCATAAAAATGAAAAGACACCTGAGATCGAACAATAATAAGCTACAAGGATGAATAAATATTATTATTCGAGTAAACTTACCTGGCCGATTATTTCGTCCATATCCAGTTGTTCTCCCGAATTTTTCAATTTGATCAACATATCTAAAAAGTCTTTCCTGGATACATTATGTTTTTCTCTGTACTCCACCGTGTCTTTGATAAGTTTAATGTATTGCTTCGATACCTCCTTCTGAACATTGGTAATTCCCAACTTTTTAGACAAATCGGGGAAATATACCGTCATAAATAAACGCGTCCTGTCTATCGGAGAAAACTGCTCGAAAAAATGTCTTCCGAGTCTTCGGAATTCCGCATCTGGATCTTTGAAACTATTACATTCCACACCTAAGATCGTCGCACCTGAAATGGTTTATTTTTGTATCTAGAGCGCAAAATGCTACTTTGATGAACGAGATTTGATTCTTTTAACAAGGCGTAGCCGAGTTAAAAAAATAGTCGAGATGACCAAAACAAGCTACGCCACTGATGCTAAACCACTGATTTCACTATGTGTAGTTATGTGCATTGAGGAATTAGCTCTGGCTCACAAACTTACCAACTGAGTCAGTAGTGAAACATGCCATTGTTTCAAAAACATCGACATCGAGTTTTCTTTCTGCGCTGTCATCCAATGTCGGTATCATATTTGTAAAGCATTGTTTCATAGTATCGTACATCATTTTCATTTTTGCGGATGAAAAGACGCTGGTGTATTTGACCTGAAACAAAATGACATAGGGGAAAAGTGCCTATGATGGCCCCCTGCCTATGATGGCCCACCACCTATATTTTCAAATTGACTGATTCCTCAAAAAACTAACAAAATATCCGTCAACAATCGAAAATGCAGAAAATATGGACTTTACCCTCGCATTTCTCCATTCTGAACCTTGCTGTGTAATCATATGTACAGTCATGGGATCGGTTTTGGTCATATAGATACCACGGTCCACAAAACTATTGAAGTCCTTGATTAAAATGGTTCTCACATCTTCAGGGTCCAAGAGAACCAAATTTGGATCTATCCCCAGAAAAACTCCTATAAAAAATTAGTACATACAGGGTGTTTCCTGAATAGCATAGAACAGTTCGGGTTTGATGAAAACATGTTCCAATAAATAATAGTCGAGAATCGATTCCTAAGGGAGCTACGCCCCTTCATTGAATATACACGCTGAAGACGATTGTCCTCAATATTTTCAAAAAATTATCAAATATTGACCATCGCATGAATGCTGAATCTGATTTTGTACTCGGAACTTCAAAATTCTGATCAAGGGCATTTCAATCTAAGAATATGACACCTGAAGGGTTTTAACGTGAAAAAAAATTTAGTTTGTATCATGTAACACTCCACACTCTGAGTTCAGAATTTGAAAAATTTCCTATTATCTGGCATTTTACTTTTGAATCAGGACTTGCCACCCTGTATATAAATATACAAATTTTTACTTTTACTAGAAAGTAGTTTCTTGGCATTTTAGTTGAAGGATTTGCCACCTTCATTTAATATTCATAATCAGTAATTTCTTTGATTGCTTTTTCCATTTCCGTTTCCATTTCCATTAGAAAAGTCAAATTTTCACTGATTTTTTTATATAATATATCAATATACCAGGATATCTCAAAATTTTGATTCATTCAAATAATTCATCTTTTGGTTGAATAACAGATTATTAATATAATTATTTTTTCCTTTTCCAATTTAATAATTTAAAATCAATTTCTCAACACAATTTTTCCATTGTAGTCAAATTGCATCCATTACTTTTCTGAATTTAATAAGTTTCAAATTTTCAAATCTAACTTTTCAGTTTTCAATATTAACTTTTTTACCTTTTTCAACATTTTAAAAATCAGAACACAAAGCTAACCAAGCGGTTCAAAGGATATCCTTCGTCCCTTTAATCACATTGTCGACAAAACTCTGATTCCTCGTATATTTCCGCATGCACTCTACGACGATACCTGACTCGAGGATCCTTGTTAACCAAAGAGGGTTGTAACGGACTGGTAAAGGAGGTTCCCTACTACGAAGTCAGAACTGAAGGAGACTATAACTACTTCCATCCTAAGAAGTACCTACCACAGTACTAGATAGCTCTGGAAGCAGAATTGAGAGCTGGAAGCTGCACTGACTGAAGGTTGAACTCCAAATTTACCCTAAGGAAACCCTCTTGGATACTTCATCGAAACATCCAGGTATAATCCATCCAAGTGCCACGACCTTCGATTGGAATCAGATGTATCAATTGTTCTTGTAAAGTGGAATGTTCTGATTTTATTTTGCTCCATTTCTCTTTTCCTATTCAAACATTTTCACATAATTTTCAATAATATTTTAGGGCCTTCAGCCACTTCACTCAAAATACTGTAGTTTTTATATTCAGTCTTTTCACATCATTCTCAACCTTATTCTAGGGCCTTCAGCCCTTCATTCAATACCTTATTGTAATTTCAAATTCATCTGGCCCTCAGCCTTCTTGTATTTTATTTTTATTAAATAAATTGTTGAATTGAATCTCTGTATATTTGTTTTGTCTTCTCATCCAAGCAAGGTTTTTAGGAAGTATCTGATTGGCTTTTGTCGTTTGCAAGCCTGGCGCCCAAATATATCGAACAGTCAAATTAATCACCTTAAAATCAACATTAGAATTCATATTACCTGATTACCATCTCAACAGTAAAATTGTAACTTTTGAACTCACACCCTACCGTATCAATCTGAGCAGCCCAAAGGCATAAGTATAAACTTTCATATTTTTTGTTTCAAAATTTTTCAAATTCTGAACTCAGAGTGTGTTCAAAAGTTAAATGCCAGATAGTAGGTAAGTACTTCAGGTGTGAAGTTGACAGGTCTGGAATTAAGATCTGATATATCTGGAGATAAGGAAATAGACATGCATTGACATGTGGTTTGTTGAGTTGACCAAGGAAAATACTGACAGTAAGATAGAGAGGAAAATCTCACTCCCAGAAAACTTGAACTATAGGTTGTGCTTTCGTCACAAGAAGGCAAAACCTATATACAGGAACCAGACAAATTTTGACCGAACAGGCTATAGAGAGAAGGAAACCTTCCTCAGGTTGCATTTATTTCTCAGAGAGAATGAAAAATGACTTGGAAAAGAAATTCACAAGTTGATAATAGAAATTAAATGCTCACCTGAGAAAGAATCCTGGAAAGGTACAGCCTGGACGTCAAGGTTCAACTTCAAGGCTCTAGGTCCTGTAGGCTCAAGGCTCCTGGACGAGACACAGAGAGGAAACTTCAGTTCAGGTTTCCTGGATGAACATCTGAGGAACTGCGATGATGTGTCGAATTTCTGATGAGTACCTAAAATGATTTCAAAAGAGTAGATACTATTTCCAACTTATTGATTGAGGAAAAAAATTAGCGAAAAAGCTGTTGATAGCAACAAGTACAAAAAGCAGATTTAAGCGGCAAGGCAGGTGGTACTTAACCTTTCACTGAAAAATAATGGTATATGATTTATTATATTATAAATCTGCAATTTTACAAAAATATCATCACAAAGTGCTAATTAAATATAGAAAGAACTCAAATATCCAATAAATTGATATCGATGACCAATTATTACTCAAGAAACCATCAGATATGAATTGTAACCTCAATTAACTCGAATGCAATTATTTCTCACAAAAATGAAATTCGATCAAAAATATATCAATTAATATTTAATTCCATAGGTAATAATCAAATCGAACAAACCAAATGTCGGCGATGACAAGTTATTTCATTAGAAAAATAAAGATAGATCCAGACCTACCAGATATCTTCAATTCCCACAACCTATCACTTCAACCTTTCAAGTCGGTAGTTCAAATCAGAAGGACTTTGATTTTCCTATTCATTCTTCGCGAAAGATCCTGTCATCTCAATCCTTCTCCTGATTGGTTATTCAGTCTCCCTTCTTCGATCTTCTGTGTCGCTGTCTAGCGGGAAGGACGAGCGCGCAAGACTTGATGAATTCGATATGGTTATTGAACCGGTGAAGGACTGATAAGCGGAAGTATATAGAAGAACGAATGGACGTCAGATAATTAAATGGTTGATTGATTGAAAACATCTCAATGGAACGGAATAATCGTTACAATCAATAGGGAAACAAAACATACTTTACTTCGAAAAATGGAACGAATTTTCGATAATCATCAATGAAACGAGTTGTATTTGTTATGATTATTATATTCGTGATTCCATTATTGCAACAATCATTCAACATCGCATTTTCATTCGCAGGCGTTGCGTTATGCAACTAACGATACATCAAATCGGCTTGTCATCGACTGTCATAGGGTCGTGAAGAAGTATGTTATGGTTAGGAGCACTTAGAAAGTTGGCGGTTTACTCATGAGTACAGGCATCGAACACCAACTTTCAGTACAGTTTTATATTGAAAGTGTTTTCTCAAAATGCCGATCATGAAAATGTTTCGAATTCTCCGCAAGAAGTTCAGTGTTGAATGTTATTTATTTCTCAATTCGAAATAATTATGATATTCATGAGAGCCTGGCAGATAAGTCATTTTGTTTTATTCCACAAAATGGAGAGCATTCCATAACATAATGTTATTGATTATCAACAGGTAAGTTCCAACCAATCATACACGTGTATTTCGAAATGAGTGGAACCCGGTTTCCCCCAATATTTTCGAAATCTCTCACTATGGAATAATGAATTTTGGTACACTTCATAAACTTTCAACGCCAACTTGAATTCTGAGCTCAACATTCTGGAATTTCTATCAGGCCATGTTACAGTCATCACGATTTTATCTCATAAGTACCCACATCATTCATCATTATATAGTAGCAATTATATCTTTGGGTTTGCCTAGAAGACTATGAATGGTATTTTTCGTAAAAATGTGGTATTTTGGGTATATTTTGAGTTCGATGAGCTTCATCACATGAGAAGGCGCACATATTCTTTTTTGATTTTGTATTCCTGATATACTCCTTTCAGTATAAGAATAGAGATATTCTTTTATTGAGATTATACTTCTCGTAGAGTTTAAGAATACACTATCGAATGTAGATTTACATTTTTCTGAGCGAGCATATTTGACTCCAGAAAAATATGTTGGAACTCAATTCCTGATGCTCCCTCATCATTCGGATGACGTACCTATTTTTACTGGAAACAATGTTCACACAAGTCAAATATGCGAGCATGTCAGGCGCAAAATATCACCCTGTGATGAAAGTATACTGATGTATCATGATTTTATTCCTTCCAGGGAACGAAATGATCTTGATTATCATTATGTTCTACGAGTTATATCTGTTTTCATTTGGAGGTAAATGTATCCTTCTTTGGAATACCGTTTAGACGGCTGATGGATTGAATTTCTTATAAGGATAATAAGGAATATGAACAAACTGAAAAAAGCTCAGGAAAGAAAGAAATTTGTTTCATCACTGGTAAACCGATGTCAACCGATGTTCTCTGGTTCTTTCAATATGGTGAATTCATACACGAATTAACTAACAAGAATTAGAGGAGGCGATTGGGGGATTGGGAAATGATATCTGAAATAAACCAATAATCTTTCTTCTTTCTCTAGTTAAAACTAAGTTATCGAGTTAAACATGTAAATTCACCATAACGTATGTATGAAGATGTATACCTGATTTGTACCTTTTAGTTTAGTTGATGAGATAAATGAATAAGATTTTTAATTGAATGATTTTGATCATAATATTGGTAAAAATGGGCTTTTGTTTTGTTTCGATCGTAGGAGAAACTCCAATTCTCAATTTGAAGGCATTCGATCACCGTGCAGAAGATGTTTCTCACGATATCCTCAGAAATGAGAAATGTCAATGTGATATATTATTCACAGATATTTGAGAGATATCTCTTAGGAAGTTCCACAAGAATACTATTTTTTAAAAAGATCAAAACATGAGAACAATTTCATGAGATGCAAAATTTACTAGAGCCACTAGATGTACCTAACAACGATGTAGAAAGTTCTAAGAAGAGGAATGGTACTAATTTAGAAACTCACCACCTATTTTCAATCCTCTTGCTTTGAATTCATTATAGAAATATTGAGTTACTTTCCCAACTGCTACTCCTTTCGGGAAGAAGCTCGTGTTATTTCCAGTAGGAAACGTTGGTTCCAAATAAGGAACATTTCTTCTCTTCCAGTACCCGTATTTGTACTTTATGAATAAAATGGCTAGTATGCCCACACTCGCCAACAATATCGCGATTTCTGTCAACATCTTGATGCAGCGAAACAAACTGATTGATATTTCATCATAGACTGATTGATATATATATATATAGATATATATCGATTACATGTGTCGTGTCGGTGTATTTTACGAAAAAACAATTGCAATGTCATCCATCAATCGTCGTCATCGTCATCTTACAAATTTCCTGACCTATAGTTCATGACATAGGCATATTCAAGATGATTATTCATTTTTTGTCGATTACAGGTAGATAGGTGATTATCTCGATACAGGAAGGAAGTTAAGTATTTTGCGAGCATAGATAGTGTCGGTGCCCAAGGACTTGGAGCCCATAATTTTTTTCTGGTTTCTGAACCATTTCATTCACACTGGATCATTCGAATATCCTCGAATCATATATCGATATTTATTCCACAAATACGAAATATTTACAACCAGCATATCCACCCTCGCAGGTACTAAAAATTTGTTAGGCGCGCTGGACCAAGTACGTCAGGCAGATCACAAAAATATTAATAATTTTCAAGAAAACAGCGATTATACCAAAATTGACGTTTTTGAGATCACCAACTAAATACAAATCGAATGAGTAACAATAGCACCAAAACTTTTACGAAAAACTTTAGTAACAAATGTGTGTCCTGCCTAACAAGCATGGACGAACAGAAGAGAGGAAACTGTTCGGAAAACGAATCAAACTTACAGCTATAGGCTCAGAACTGGGAGCGTTTATTAAAAGAGCTAAGTCCAAAATCGAAATTGATAATAATCCCGCAGTAGAGATACTGGAAGAGTGTGATTTTGATCACATCCCTCTGGATATTAGATTACTCGAGATAATGATTAAATTTTATGTCTTCCTTTTCTGGCAAAGGTGGACACTGGCTGTACGATATCGGCAATTCTAGCAAATGTATGGAATCAGCTAGATGAATTTTCCATGTACAGGGGTCTCAGTAGTTTGAGCATTTCAAAGTAAACACCGAACAATTTTGGTACAAACCTCACTCGCTTTTTTCATGAAAGACAACAATTCTACTCAGGAGTTCCTGCTGATTCCTGATTTAGTTTTTTCAACCATATTAGGAGTCGATTTTCTGAGAATGCACTGTGCCAAGCTGAATTTTAAGAACAGAAGCATACTTTTTGTAATGGTACGCGAATATTGTAGAAGATGTTCTTGATGCATCTTCCCCTTTTAGTGCAGAGGTGGTGTTGACTCATCGTTTTTTAACTGAACCTGAAAAAAAAATGATGAGGTTTATTGGAGAAGTATATGAAGCCATATAATCTGATCTTCCTGGAAGAACTCACCTGTATGAGAATTGTATCAAGTTAAGAGACGGAAGTGAGTTTTTTATAAGGCCCCTTCCCTATTCCAGTGGCGTACAAAGACATGGTCTGTGAGGCCATCCAGCAAATGGAGGAATGGACTGTAATCGAGAGCCAAAGAAGGGAAGTGTTGTATTTCGTGCAAATACAACATTCCCCTTCATTGGAATATGTACACGTGCACACAGCCCAGCAACCCTCACTCATGTAATCGAGAGGGCGACCACCCCATATATTTCTTCACTAATGACCACAGTGGAAAAAGATGGTCGTATCTGAATCTGTCATCAATCATGTTGTCAAATTGGATATTGCCGCCCCGCATCAAGAATACCATTGAGTCATCAGGAGGTAAGAAATTCCTATCCAGAATTGATCTGAGCCATTCCTACTGGCAAATTCCTTTGCGAAAAAGAGACCGAAAGGTTTGTGGATTCATCTTAGGAACCAAATCCTACCAGTGGTGCGTGCTTTCCTTCGGAGTCACTAAAGCAGTTAGATATCTTACGAGGGCCATGGAAGAGGTTTTTGGCGATGATTTCTCAGAATTTTCTAATTTCCTTCGTGGATGAGTTAAAGAAGGTTTTACAATTGAGCAGTCGAAATGCCGTTTCTTCCAGGAGAACGTCGGCTTTTTGGTATATAAAATCACCCCCGAAGGTATCTTCCTCGATCCAGAAAGAGTGCAAGCCATAGTAGACTAGGACGCCCCAACATGTAGAGAAAATCAAAAAATTCATTGGTTTGTGTAATTATGACCAAAGCATCATGCTAAAACTCGCAGAGTTGTCTGAACCGATCGACCAGCTGCAAAGGAAAAATGGTGGCATTGGGATACCAAGCAGCAGGAGGCCTTCTAGATGTTGAAGCAGGAACTTCAGGAGGCAACACTTCTGTATCACTCTGATTTCTTGCTTCCATGGTATGTGGCTACTGATGCTAGTGATATTGGGGTTGCAGGGCAGCTATATCGAATCGTAAATGGCGAGAAGAGGGTCGTTGCCTGGGCCAGTTAGCTTATTTTAAAGCGTGAGTGGTACTACCATTCAAGAGAAAAAGAAGTCCTTGCAGCTTTGTGGTGCATCCAGCGCTGGCGTACCTACCTGTTAGCTAGGGAATTTACCTTGCATATGGATAGCAGGAACCTTACCTATTCAAAAACACTTGCTGATTGTTATCAACGCGTATCACTCGTTGGGCACTAGCACTTCAGGAATGCAATTCAATAGTGCATTTTCCTGGAAAAAAAAATCCGTGATGGAAAAAAAATTTGATAATTCATCTCTGTTGACAGGTTTTTTCCCACGGGGAAAAAGTGAGTACTTTTTGCCCGGATATATAGGAAAATATTTTTTTCAAGATTTCATCACATATATAAATAGAAAAGAGAATCATTAGCTATTATTGATTCGTTTCATTTGCATCATCAAGGTTTACGAATATTTTCAATTGAATGTGAGGAAACTGCCAAATAAATAATTTCATTCTGCGCCACCATTGGCATTTCGGAAACTATAAAAGATACGAAGATAGTTAAATCAGGGCAAAGTTGCGTATTCTTGTGATCAAAATTATGCTGTCCAGAAACTCTTTGAATTCCGAGTATTTCCAGAGATATACGAGAATACATAAATATAAATTTATATATATTTTTTTCTGACGTTATTCTTAGAAGAAAATCAAAATTGAGAGCACATTCACATTACCACTTTTTTTCTGCTATACGATGATCTTCATCGATAATGATAGCATGGTTATTTTCTCGACGGCATATTCTTGATCACATGAATTCGCAACTCTGTTCTGATTTGACCATCTTCGTATCTCACAGGAAGGAAGGAATGCTCGAAGTCATCTCCACAAATTTTAATGATATTCTGACTAAATCATGAGGGACATGTTTCGGTCTTATAAAAGACCATCTTCAGCCTAATTGAAAGGTTTGGAGTTGAGAAAATTATTTTATTATAATGCTACTATTCCTTGAACTGTCAATGCCCATAGTCAAGAGTTCCAAGGTTCTGAAAAAACGGGTTCTCAATAAATGAAGGGCCCCGTGCCCTGAGAGCGTATACTATTTTTATTTTTCTTAATGAACATTTCATATACCAAAATGGTATATGAAGGGTATTGTCGAACAGTTTATCATTTGACAACACCATAAACTAGCGGGTTTTTAAAAAAGGGGTTCCCCGTTCCCTTATGAAAGCGTTATTTAAAGGCAAATATCAATAAAATTGATGGGGCAAACAGCCAGCACGTGTTTAAAATCTAAAGTCACCTCTCAATTTTTTACATTTATAAGGAAAAATTAGATATACAGGTTGATACACATTCGAGTTATGACGTCCGGAACAATTTTTTGGAGAAAGGCTGAATTCAAATATGAATGAAATATGAATAATACTTATTTGGATTGTATACAGTGCGTCCGTTATATACAGTGCTATCATGAAATGGGGCTGCCATTAAAGAAATATCGATGACGTAATTGCACGAACTATTCTGTATGTATCAATTGGAATTAACAGAGTGCCCTAATAAACATGAAATTCGACGGCTCTGAGCGTTCGCTTCAAAAATATTTCATTTTTTTTACGAATGTATCTATAGTTTACGATAGCACTTCATCCAACGGACGCACTGTATACAAACCCTATATGGGATTAATTCTTGAATACAGATTTTCATGAAGATTTCAGAAATATAATAATATATAGGGTGTTATATTTGAGAAAATTGTCGCAGACGTCTCAATTCAAACGTAATAAATCATCCTGTATATTCATTTTTTTCTCATAAATGTTGCGAATTGGAAATTGAATTCGACCTGTTTCAGGAGATTCTTCAGAATTTGATAGTAAGTATGGTAGGTATAACTTCATTAATAATACCATTCCGAGTACAGATTCCCATGAATATTTCAATAATTGATAATATATAGGGTGCTCCATTGACAAAAATTGTCTCGGTCATCATGGCTCAAACTTGGATAACCCTGTATATCGAATTATTCATCATAAATGTGGTGAATTTGAATTGGAATTCGACGTGTTTCAGATTTCTCAGAAATGGATAGTTTGGCTGGAAATGAATATCTTCAATCCTTCACGAAAGCACGTAATTTTGTAATTTTTCAATATCATTTTGGCAGCTAAATATGTTGCTGATTAACAAATGAGTTATTGTACAAAAATCAACAAGATCTATTTGACTACAATGCACTTTTGTTGATATATCTTTATAGGATCGGCGGTCGAGAGCGTGAAGGCGCTGAGTTCGTATGGGGACTCCCACCGAGACATAGGTTCGAATCCTAGTTAGGCCATGGATGTTTGTGTTTGTATGCTTACCTAACCCCGCACAAGTTTCGACTCATGAGGCGTTTGGTCTCAGTGCTGGGACCAACGAGGTAATGCAATAAAAAAAACAAGTTTTATCTACCTACATTTCTTACGGTGTGAGATATGACTTGTCTCGTCAGTTGACATTTATTGTTATGTTCATCCCTATATGTTTTAGAACAATATTGTATTTTATATCTCTGTGAGAAGGTCTCTGATGATTCAATATTCCACTTCATATCTCAATAAATCAACACAAAATAATTGTTTTTCAATATTCATTTCCATGTACCTATCGGCACTTATAATATTGAATTGCTAAATCATTGGTTTTCATCAACCTCATTATCATGTACCAACAAGGTCTATGATAATTCAATATTTCACTTCATATCTCAATAAATCATCACAACACAATTTTCTT